AGCATCGGCACAGGGGAGACCACGGCGTCCGGGCGTGGTGCTGGCCACATCACCCCCAGCGTGCGCCCTGTTGGCCTCTTATAGGCGCATCGCTAACAGCACTTGCCACAACAGTCTGTCGAAGGCTATACGGGGGGGGGAGTCTTTGTCTATGTCTGTCTGTCTGTCGATGGGGGAAGTCCGTTCAATAGAGCCATCTGAACACACGCGCGTACATATGTGAACACGTGGGCTTCATATACACGCGCACGTGTGGAAACAAAGATCCCCCGTGTAGCTTCTAACAGACTGTTGGGGCAAGTGCTGTTAGCGAGCACCTATGAAGGCCGGCAACGGTACACGAGGGGGTGGGTGGCCAACACCACGCCCGGCCACCTTTGTCTCCCTAGTGGCGATATTTCCGCCACGGCACCAGGTACTCATTTGAGGCTGAGTCGACCTAGGGGAAGCCCAGGACCGGTTCAGATAATCGTCACCGGTGTTGGCCGTGAGCGGAGAATCGAACTCGGGTGGCCAAGTTCGTAGCGCAGCACGCTAACCGCTACACTACCGCTCCCCTCTCACATACATATACACATGCAAAGACACATATATGCATACATATATGGTAACACAGTCACACAGGGGCACACCATAAATAAATACACATAGATATGCACACAAAGATATAGACTCACCCATACACTCGCACTCGTAGGCTCACACATGCGTACATACACACATAAATACATACATTCACACACACAAATGTATACACAGACAGATCTACGCGCATATATGCACAAAGACATAGTCACATATATATACACGGGCGCAAAGACCTCCACACAAGCACGCATACGGAGGACACAAATAGATGTGCGCACACAAATAGACAGAAACACTGATATATATACATATACACAAAATAAACAAAGACGCAATAAGACAAAGACACATCCGTATATCTGCACACTTACACGCATACATACACACATATATACGTAACCGTTACAAGGTTTATTATTGACCTGTTTGCTATATTTTATTCATCTGCTGGCTATGTTTAACATCGAGTAGGTGGTTACTATCGACATTAAGTATCGTACTGGCCTTCCTCAGCGGGTGCTTTTACTGCATTAATCTGACTATTGTTTGTAGTCTACGTGCTACACTCAAATATGGTCCCCGTTTTCACTTGTGTGATTTGCGACGTTGTTCAAACGCGACGATAGCGTCACACCTGACCAAATGAACCGTGTTCGCCCAGGCCACCTCAGTTTGATTCCAGGCCACGGCGAATATCGGTGGAGCCAGCGATATCTGGACCGGTCCTGAGCCAACTCCACCGTTTAACCTATGCCTGTGATTGACCAGCGCGGTGAAGTATGGTCAAACAACCCCCGTGCCCAAAAGGCGTGGGAGGGAGCTCTCCATCCAGCAGTGGATTGACCCAGAGATGCGGATTGCTGTGCTGTGTGTGTGTGAAGCCCAGATCACCGCGTCAGGAGTTAGCGGAGTCGTCTATCGCTGTGATGTCTCACTTCGTATTTGTGGATGGGGCATTGCGTATGCGCTGTCTGTGTGCACAGAAGTTAGCGGAATAGGGGCGAGGTACATGGACACAGGTAAGAAAACAACTCGACACATTCAAGGAACAACATGTAACGTCACGGGGCCCCGCAGGGCCTTCACGCTGTGAAGAAGCGAGAGATTCCCGTGCTGTGAAGAATGGTTATTGCCCTAAACGTCGACCGTTGTATCTGTTTTCTTTTTTTAGAAGAATGCAGTGTTTAGTGTCTGCTGAAATGGCCTAGCTTTACAACAGTCTATAACCCATTAGAATGATTATTATATCCACGATTAATGATATTAATCAATAAATTAAGCACAACATAAATGTGGATATTTTTTTTCGTGTGAATTGTTCATCGTTGTGAACAACATTTAGCACATTATCACGTGAGACACTTCTCATGTTAGCGGCGTGCCGATTCCTATCAATTCATGTCTGAACTGAAGTCGATAATTATTTAAGGCTCGCAATGCATAATCCACGTTTTTTTTTACAATTCGCGTTTATCGAATGAATGCGTTAATCGTACGCGCATCATCATCATCAGGCCAATGAATTGACGACACCTTGACAAAGAGAGACAAAGACCGAACACGAGCAAACAATGCGAGGGAGACGAAAAGTGGGAGATGGAACGACTGGATTTGTGGATTTAATCGAGACCCCCGAATTGCGACGGCTAATCGAATCGTCACGGTGATTGCTCGTCTCCGTCAGCCCCCTCCTCCTCTAGTTAATATGCATAGCAGCAGAGATTAATATGTACACAAAACATGAACGCATTGAGATTCGTATATAACGGTGCCTACTTATTACGGACCATTTCAGACCTATATATGCTGGTCACGCCGTGCCCTTAAAATCTCAACTTTCATCCTAAAAAGTCCCGTCACAAGGGAGAAACACGAACAAATAGAATTTGTTTTTTTCGTTTGCTCGCATTGAAACGGCTGTACGCCGTATGGACCTCTAAAGTCAATTTCCCTGTTCAAGAATACGGGTAAACCGTATGGGTTGACAGGTGTGCGAATAGAATGCTATTTATTTCATATAGATATTGCATATGCAAATACTGCGTCTATGTATAACTATACGTACTTTTATGTAATAATCCGCTGTACGAGAGTTTATATATACTGTATAGTAAACACTTGATGATGTACAGTCCTTGGTCAATCCACTGCTGGATAAAGGGCTCCCCAGGCATTGTGTCGGTCATGGGGGTTGTTTGACCATACTTCACCACGCTGGTCAGTGTCGGATGTGGTGAGGGCAGAACCCTTTGTTATTGTCAGTATATGCACAACACACAATAGCAATACGTCTATAGTATATATACCGCATCATCATTATAATATATATTGTCGGCAGTATTGATTAGCTTCGAGCAGTGAAGTATATTCAAGACTGAATATACATGTTAGACATATACGCAGGGAGTAAATTGGTATTTTAATCAACAAAAAGTTGGTTGCATCACGTCTCTTGCACAGCCCTAACAATATTATCTGTTATGAAAGAGGGTCATTGCCCGAAACGTCACGTATTATAAATATATGTGAGTTCCAAATGTGAGTTTTATTTGTGCAATTTATGCACCACTACCAACGTCAAATTTATAGTACATATATAAAACATGTATTAATTTACGAAATTCCCATTCATGTAATTAACTACAGGGCTTGTTATGTATATAAAAACCTCAATGCAAACTCTAACAATTATGTACACATACGTATATATATTATATGCATTAATATACAGGGGGTTTCAATGTAATTGATATGCAAGCATCATATTGACATTTCAGGAAATATGAAACATCGCAGATCAGTCGCCCGAAACGTCGATATTTGTATTACTCTTATTGGCAAAAAAAACATGTTCATATTACGTGTAATTAACCTTTTGGTTTCTGTCGAATTCGCTGAAGGAGTAGCAGCAGCAGTTTGTGCCTTCCAGAATTTACAGAGCCTGTAATTGTCTCCGGTATTATCCGTTTCGTGTACGTTGTCGCATTAATTACATTCCACGTCATTTATTTCATCACGCGACGGTATGCGTAGATCTGCCGTGTGGTGTGCAGGATTTGGGGGGTGGGGGGAGGGGGTTAGGGGAGCGGGGTGGTTGAGGTTACGTGCTCGTTGTGGATCGCGGTGCTAACCCACACCGGTACAAAGAACGCGTTACAGGGGAGGGAGAGAGATTGTGCCGACCTTCATTCAACCACCACGTGAGATGCATTACCTCTTGTGCAATCGTCTGCGTGATATGAAGAAGGGCCGTTGCCCGGAACGTCGCCTATTGGATGTATTTATTTCTGTTAGGCCAATGTGATTGACGAATATGTGTGTGTATCTATTGTGTAGGACTCAGCCTCAAATGGGTAGCTGGTGCGGTGTGTACACATCACCACTGGGGGAGACAAAGGCGGCCGGGCGTGGTATTTGCCGCCCACATCCTCGCGTGCCGTGCCGGCCTTCATGGGTGATCGCTAACAGTGATTTGCCCCAAAAGTCTGTTAAGGCTAGACGGGGGATCTTTGTCGTTGCCTGCAGCGTATTAGTGCAGGATATCAGTGCTACAATATTGATTAAAAACAATTATACCGTGGGCCCAGACCTAATATATATCCTGTTGGTCCCACCTGAGATGGAAATCCAATACTTGAGTCGTATCTTTGATTCGCGAATACAGGTGAATGACACAGTGTTATCACAAGCTTACTAAATAACCATACACAACAAAGACTGGTATCGCTATATAGGGGCCGTCCATAAATGACGTCACGCGATTTTGGACGATTTTTGACCCCCCCCCCCCCTCTCGTCACACGGCGTCACAAAAAGTCAGACCCCCCCCTCAAATATAACGTCACAAAGCTCTGCCTCACCCCCCCCCCCCCACCCCCAAAAATATATATAAAACATGCTCAAATCGCTTTAAACTATTGTCATTGTAGTGCGTATTTAATGTGCCGCTGCATTCTGATGTTGTAGGAGAAAGCATTTATCAAAAAGTATATTTCATTAAGTAGAACGTGTTGCCTATATTTATTTAAAGTTACGCATTTTGATGTGACGTCACATTTCTCAAACCCCCCCCCCCCCCCGTCACACAATCGTCACAAATGTCTGACCCCCCCCCCCTAGGTGCGTGACGTCATTTATGGACGGCCCCATAGGTGCCACCTCGATGGTTACCGCGATATGGCCTAGCCCATTGGCCAAAATGCGTTCACGTGGCTCAAGCTCAGAGGCGCACACGACTCTGTGGGACGTCACCGGGAGGTGTCCTCAGACCAGACTTGTCATGCCGCCATAGGAATGTGGAATTTGCAACGCGTGGCTCTGGACCGCCAATGAAACCCCGGCGTCGTGCGTTTGAACACGGGGGGACAATTTGACGTGGAACGAATTGTTCGGTTTGCATAAATCATACTCACCGTATCTCCTGGGTTATAAGACGCTGCGGAAAGTGAGCCTCACCCCAACAATTGGCCTTAAATTACTGGGGAGGTAGGGAGGGGAGGGAGGGGAAGGAGGGGAGGGAGATAAAAACGCGCCTTATAATCGCGTGAATGCCGTATAAATTGCGAGGCGGAAACGGGAATCGAATCGTTTACCCAATGTCGAGCACGCAGCGTGACTGTTTTACGGTACGGTATATTACCCAATGCCAACCTCGCGTATTTACAAAGCAAAACTCATCATTTCAAGCCCTTTGTCAATCCACTGCTGGACGGAAGCCTTCTCCGCACCCCGTGACTGTTAGGGAAGCTGTCTGACCATACTTCACAACCCTGGTCAGTGCGAGTTGGTTGATGGCAGTGCCGACACCTATTCAGATATTACTTGCCAATGTTATTTCATTCTTGTGCAATGATCCAGTGGCTTCTTAATGTCGGAAGGGAAGAGCGTTCCGGACGGGCGCGGAAGCTGCGTGGACTTGCTAATGATGTTCGCCGTGACCGGCACTCGAACTCAGATCGCCGGGTTGATAGAACGAATCGCCCCTCACCACCGCCGCAGCCACCAATATTTTATACAGTGCCAATATCCATCCCCTCGTGCGTGTGCATCATCGTCATGTCAATCGTCGTCAGGTCACGAACCATATTCCTTTCGTGAACACGCACGTGTACACCGGTCTGCTACAGGCGTATTCGCCAGTATCTCTGGAGCCACGTATCAGCAGCTAACATTCTACTTCGGGCAGTGCCAAATGTTGGGTGGATTGTTACGCCACCGGCAAGATGGGGAGGCCTTCATCCAGCAGTGGATTGACCATGGCTGAGGACGGTGAATAGATGTATGCTCATTTTCCGAGATTTTCCAAAACGGTGCCGCGCATGTAATCCGTGTAAGTTTCTTGCAGCTCATACGCTCAAAGAGTGGATATTGATCCTTCCGTGTGGTAATATTACTCGGCGGATGGCGAATGGGGGCTAGGTTGCGAGCGCACTGCGCCTATCAACTCCAGCCACCCGAGTTCGATTCGCGGCCACGGCCAGGGGAGGCCTTCATCCAGCAGTGGATTGACAAATGCGATGTAAATGATAACAGTAATGATCCAGTCAAACGAGAGAACACCGATTAGTATTAACTAAGGCCGACATTGCACGCGACAGGGAGGTAGAGCTATTCATGGCCGAGTCGACCTAGATTAGACTCAGGAACGGTGCAGTTACCAATTGCCACGTGGGTCGTGAATCATGACCAAGAATGTAACTCGATATTTGCGGGAACAGTTAAGCGACCTGTTATAAACTGTATCACATCTCTTGCTGTATACACACACATAGATACGTATATATATAAACTGCACGCTCTTCACGTATACAAAGAAAGACACATGGGCACATGCAGAGCAAATGTAGATGCACGCCCCTATCGTGAATCCACTGCTGGATGAGGATCTTGCCGCGCCTTGCCGGCAGTGGGCATTTGATGGCGACACGGCGCTGGGTAGGGTTGGGGCTGACGTGCATGGCTGCATATAAATGTGTTGTACAACAGTGATTTTCTGCTGCACTATCCTCTGCCGACGACTCAGCCCCGCACTAGCCTATAAAACTCCGGTTGTGTACGCATGGTAGTCGCCTATCCGAACACGATCAGGAATAAATCTACTGGACATCTGTGTGGGGGGGGGGGGGAAGAGCTTTATAGCTCATCGGATTCCTCCAGTATGAATAATTCAGATTCTTAAAGACCTGCTTAGCTTGGTTGAGATCTGACGGGATCGGTTGCATTCCGGGTGATTTGGTAATAGGCAGAAGCATCGACCCGGGTACAAAGGCGACCAATGATTTAACGTCGCATTAATTATGGGTTTATGAGCTGTGAGTGGGTGCACGAGGCATGCGTGAACACACAATTACACGTGGCTCCCATATCTATTCCCCGTCTTGAATCCCAAGTCTCGAGCAACTTCTCTCACGGAGGAAATGCGAACAATTGCAAACATGATTTTGTTTATATATATGTGTGTGTAAGTAAAATCAAATAAAAGCAGAAGTCCAGTCCCTTCTCCACAAATGTAAATAAATGCATACAATTGGTTCGTCCATCCCCCTATTGGCTTTCAAGACCAATACTAACCAGTGGCATTTGTTTTAAATAAGTAAACGTTGGATCGGGATCGACCTCCTGGCTCTCATCAGCAGAGTGGGGCTTTGCCTCGTTAAAACAAATGCTGCCGGATTACCAGATGTGATTGGCAAATTCAAAATAAACACTAACTCATCGCGAGCTTGCTTCAACACATTTCGCTTAATAATATTGGTCTGTAAAGTCAATAAATTGGCTGATGGACAACACGACATGTTTATGATGAAGTTGTTTGAGGTTAGATCGCATAAATGCAAATGTGATCCGACCCCAAGAAAACGTTATCACGAATAATATTGGTGACGAAAGCCCACTTGGTTAAACATATTTCTACTTACACGTGGCGAGACAAATAGCTGGCGTTAATTGGTAAGCTCATGTTATGCCCGATCCTGATTGTAATCCACTGTTTGGAAGAGGGCCTTCCCCGCGCTAGAGAGTGAGAGGGAAGCATAGAAGTTTAGTACAACGGTGGATTTTTCTCCCCCACCCGCAATCCCGTGTCTCTCATCAAGTCCGTGATCATGATCGGCACCCTGTGATTGTCACCTGAGTGAGACGCCACCTTTGTTTTGTCAACGTGTCTGCATTATGGAAATGAGGCGTCGCTGTAGCCACGTCCATTGGCGAACCTGAACGAGCGGTGGAAATTCCACGGTCCCATGGCCGGAGGTCGGTGTCTGTCAATCCAACTGGATTGTCAATACTGTTTCCGTGAAGTGAACGTCATTGTTATCAATCGATCCATGACGGATGAGGATTTAATCAATTGTGAAACGCAAGACAACTTTGAACAGGTGGACACGTTTGTATCGCATTGCAATAAAAACTAATATTTATATTCAAGCTTCAAAAGCGTTAAAGAGTTTTATTTAAAGCTTTCGTGACTGCAGGGATTCATATTCTTAGCCAGTGAACTCAAGCACGTACACCAAGCTCTTAAGGCTAATGGTTACTCCGACTACACAATCCGCAAAGCTATCACTCTAACAATGAAGAAGGACCCTCTTGAGGAGCCTTTCAAAACCATCACTTTACCATACATTGCGGGGATCACAAAAAAAGTTCTCAAAAATCTTGAATAAACACAAGATCCAGGTCCGATTCAACACATTACATAAAATCCGTGATCTGGTTCCATCTGTAAAAGATGTGATTCTGGACATACAGTACCCTGGCGTCTACAAACTAAGTTGCCTCTGTGGTAGTAGTTACATTGGAGAAACCAAACGCCATGTCTCGGACCGCATTCGTGAACACAAAGCAGACCTGAAACACGGTAGGACCAACACCTCGGCCGTGGCAGATCACTGTTATAATTCAGTAGGCTCACATGACATTGACTTCTCCAAAACAGAGGTTCTTTGCAAGCCATCTGGCTACCATGAGAGATTCGTTCATGGGGCTATCCACATATACAAACACAGAGACAATTTGAACCGAGAAGATGGATTCTGGCTTAGCAATCATTGGAAGGATGTGATAAACCATTTCGGGTCTAAATTGATTGTTCACGCTTACGGTGGCTTTCAGACCGCATCCATTATTTTCGTCTCCCCCCTCCTCTTTTCCGAACATAGATGGACTCATCAACCTGAATAACTGCCAAATCGCTCTCCGTGGTGCTAACGTAAAAAAACGCCACTTTTTTGTTCAAATTTTCTTGCTGTGGTTTTCACACCTGATGATGATTGCTTGTGTTGCAGTCGAAACGTCGTGATAATTTTATTGTTGTATATATTTTATTATTTTATTGTTTCCCTTCTACATGACTTTACCGAAAGAACCAAGAATAGCGTTAAAGATATTAATGTCACCATAATTCCCTAGTCTAACATTGCACACATACACGCATACACATCAACAAAATCTCACACACATATACATATATACACACACAAAAGACACCAATGGACACGTAAAATGCAAAGACAATCAATAGGCAAATCAAACAATTGGATAACAATGCGAACTCACGCACACAAAGACTCATACACTTCTGCGCAGACAGTGATCACACGTCATTTTAACATTGCACCATTTTACAGTCATACCCAGATTTACGTCGTTTGGCAAATACGTCGTCACTTTATCCACACCACTACCTGATATGCGTCGCCTCGACCCCACACTTACGTCCCTGACAGCATCATCCGTCCTTTCTCGTATCTGTCGCCTCTCAGCCTTCGCCTCCACCACCACCACTCTGTGTACATCACTTTGAGTTCATGTCGTTTCGGTATTTGTCATCACATTTCCGACGTAACACTGCGTTAGTCGACTGTGATCCCCCAGACCTCGTCTCATTGTCAGATGTGTGAAGGCCATTCTGCAATTAACGCGTGGCCAATAGCCGCGTCTGGCAATCGCGTGCGCCCTAATTCACATAGGCCATTGTGGCGTGACCTTGCGTACATGGGTAATGCATGTACACGCGACTTTGGACATCGGTCGTGGACATAGCGGAGTGCTTTGTGTGTTGTAGGTACGTTGAATGTACGGTTTTCTCCCGACAATACGATTCAGGGTTTCTCTACATTTTAAAGGCAAAGAAAGGGTAGGTTTGCGTGTGTGTGGGGAGCGGTGGTGCAGCGGTTAGCGCTACGCTGTGCTATGAACCCCGCGTCCCGGGTTCGATTCCCGCTCACCGCCAACACCAGTGGCGATTATCTTAACCGGTCCTGGGCCTCCCCTAGGTCGACTCAACCTCAAATGAGTACCTGGTGCGATGTGTAAACATGGCCACTGGGGAGACAAAGGCGTTCAGGCGTGGTTACTGGCCACCCACCCTCTCGTGTGCCCTGCAAGCCTCCATAGGTGCTCCTCGCTAACAGCACTTGCCCCAACAGTCAAAGGCTATACGGGGGATTTTTGTCTTTGTTTCATAGCGCACATAAT